GAAGTGGCGCCCCTGGATTTGAGCCCGACCTGGCATGCCCGCAGAAGGGACGCTCGTCGATAGTCGGCGGTGGCGCTAGGTGTCGCGAGCGGGCAGGTGAGGAAAGAAGAGTGAAGACTGGGGAGTGACGGCGCGGAGTGTGAGCATGTGTCAGTTTTGACAAGTACGGGAAACTGGAGCGAAGGTCGGCGCATGCGCACAGCACACGATGGGCATCGGATGCGTGACGCGTGAGCGTGAGTGACATCTCGAGCGCCTGCGCAGTCCCTCGGCTCCCGGCTCCGCGCGGGTCTCTCACACATGTCTCCGCGACGATCCGCTCATTCGAAAATTGCCTCCGATTATCCGGCCCGGAGGACCGTGTGCTCCCAAGCGACTCGATCAACCGTGAGATTCCACGCCACAGCCTGCTCGACAACCGAGACGAAACGGAGAAGTCTATCTGGATTGGAAGTTTTGAAAAAGGACGTATGTGTAATAGCTCAGGACGATATGCTAGGTTGGAACGCTTGCGGACTTTAAATGCATTTTGCAATAAGGAAATGCTGTCTCCGGCTCTTCTATAGCAGCACCTATGTGTTTAGGGTAACCAATGGAACTTATGATACGACTACCAAAATAAGCCGAAAATAGTATGTAATTGCTTACTGCGAAATTTAGTCAAGTGGGATGGGCGTAAGAAACGTGAAACGAGTTCCTGAAGCGGAAAGTGTTCGCGAAACCACACGAGATTCTTTTAAAATCACGAGGCGGCTTGCAATGTTATCGATCAGCCCCGGTAGACCTCTTTTGCGTGATAAAAATAAATTCTCACTTGGTGCAGCCCTGCGCAAGACAAGCCAATCTACTTGAAAAATGTGATGGAAAACCCCTCTTTCTGCTCCAGATCCAGTCCATTCGCTTACCAAAATTGAGTCCTCGGTTTATGGTAACCCTCTTCCCAAAGAGTTTTCCCCGAGTCAGCTTTCAAAGTCTAATCCCAAGATATAATTTTTCCCTTGAACAAATGAGTTCTCTTAGAGTTTCTATTATAGATGGACTTCCTTCGCACAAATGCATCCGTTTAAAGAACATGGTTACTTTTGAAGACTGGCTTTATTTTATTGTCAGCTGTTGTGCTACGTATTGAGCAGTGAGCACTTTTCACTTGTCAAACTATGGTTTTCTGTCCAACGATTAACTCATTATTCAAGATCCAACAAGCACAGATATGTCTAGAGTTGAGATTGTATCCGCTCTACGTTGTTTTACCCATAACCAGCACTGAAGATTCACCTTTGGTATATCGCACTCAGTCGTTTTCCGAACACCGTGTTCCCATAGCTCTCATTGTGCAGACATCTTTCCGGTTTGCGCCTTCCAATTTCCGCCCGCAGAGGCGTGTTTTCTTTTTCGCGTCAAACGACACTTTTGCGCGCACGAGACAATCTGCTCCATTCCCCAGATTGCTCGAGTGAACTTAATTTCGCAGCTCAGTCCAGGCCCAATTTTCGCAGGTCCAATCGCGATCTCGTTTTTCCCCGGTTGCCAAATTACACCGAAACGCCAATAGCGAAAATTTTCCGTCACAAAACTGACTCACAATCAGTAGCGTTTTTTACATGTGCTCTTTAAGAGATTCTTTCCCCAAAAATGAGACAGTGTATTATTTTTATTTTGCACATGTCATATTAATCAGGAAGACTTGAATAGAAGAAAGAGGTTACTTTAAAATCCTCAAGTCGAGTTTAACATAACTGGTATAGAGAATCGTGAAACATATACATAATATACGACATATATATAATATATACATAATATATATAATATACGATAACATAATATACGAAAACGCAAGACTTGTGAACTTCACAGGACGTAAAATCTGTAGCAGATAACTATTCCTGTACGAGGATGTCCTGTGGCCTACTTCGAAAATTGAAGGCGAAACATTAATGCGTGCAACATCCCTAGTCTCTTCCACTTCGCATCAATTTCGCTTGGAAAAAAGTATGGTAACTGGCATTCTGATCTTAACCCCATGTACACAATTCTTTAAAGGTAATCAATCCAAGTCGTGGTAACATTTACCTCCAAAATCAGGGAGACTGTATTTAACTTAACCCGGGAAGCCCGAGATGTTGTCTCGAAATTTTCGGCAAAAAGCTCCAATGCTCCAATCATGCAATTTGCGGAGAAACTTGTCAACGATGTACCATTGCGCGGTCCCAAAGCCTCCCTCGAGGCGGTCTATTCGCACCCTCTCTGAATTTGAATGAGAATCGTGCTTTTTTCCGGCCTCCTTACACCTGAGTTCCGTTGGCTTTTCTTCGCATGATGAGCAAAATTTGCCGCGTCTCTTTTAATCGAGTCCCATTACGGAACCGACTCCAGGAGGAAATTAATGGCCGGAGGGACCTTGCCAATCTCCCTCTCATTGCGTCCCTGGAATTTGTTCGTCGCGTTTCAATCGCCGTTCGTTTTCAGTTATTAAATTTTTTACGTTTTTCTGCTGTCTCTCGAGGTATCACGTCGCGTGTGAATTGAATTCAGTGGAGAAATTAACTCTCTCCCTCATCGTATTTTCATCGTTTTTAAGTCCTCATTATAGATCAATGCAGGAGAAGTTTTGTCCACTGTATGAGGAGTTTCACTAAAACGCAGGTTTTAAAAAATAGCGTTGAGGCATTGAAGTTTTAGAAAAGTGGATCTTTAGTTTTTTACCAAAAGGAACTCGACTTTAACAGGAGGTGGCGCAACGTGGCTGAAGCAAAATTATTTTTCTGCCTCAGTTCCGCGCTGCTGTTCCAAATAGATACCTGGGAAAACTTGATTTCCGCCGGCGATTTCTGCTTGTATGCCAGTAGACTATCACTATTTTGAAAGAATTTGGGAGTGAATCTTCATGTATTTATATATATATATATATTATTATATACTATTTATCACCAATTATTGTAGTAGGGGCCTGAATAGAGAGAAAGAGATCTTCAAGTAGAGATGAATACACTCTACCGCGAGGCAACATTTATAGGCAACGAGAGATACAAATCCTCGATTAGATAACTATTCCTGCGTGGAGGATGCATTCTGGTCTACCTCGTCCATTGAAGGCGAAATAGCGATTTCCGTAATCTCCATAGCCTTCCCGCGTTGATTCTCCTTCCTCTAAATTTCAGTCAGGAAACGCCACTGTTGATCACCAGTGTCATTTTATTCTCGGCTACCTAATTCATCTACCTCTTCTTCGGTCTCACTGCGCACAAAATATAGCCGCTCGGTTTCAGTTGGTATAATTAAATCATTACCCTACCTCGTAATTATCGGATACGATCAGCTTATCGATTAAATATGATTTTTATCAATAATAAACATACTAGCGTGGGGCGTGATGTTAGAGCCATTCAGCTGGACGTGTGCCAATCTGGACCATGTGCTCTTGTAAGCTCCAAGCTCTACAAGCCGAACCCTCCTTCTGTGAACTGAATCAAGTAACTCGTAAGTTGGGCTTTCCTCACGAGCATCGCCGTGGACTCAACATTCCAGCGAATCTAAGTTTGCTCACCTCTTTCAAGGGTATTTCGAGTTGAAGCTCACGTCATAGAATTCGTCGCGTACAACGAATCAGCTTTTCATGTTTTAGGTTCTCTCCTTTTTTTACACATAGGATTGTCACGGTCAGGAAAAGCTGAGAAATCAGGGGAAAATTGGTTACCGAAAATCGGGAATAGTCAGGGAGGGAGAAAGGAAGGAGTTAAATAGAGCAAAATGACGCGAGAAATGAAAACATTTTTCTAACAGAAATTGCGATTTTTCACTTGTTGCAATCCATAAAATTTAATTTACACTTTAGTGTCCACGTGACATGCTATAATTTTGCATAGATGAGAATTTTTGAGAAAGTGAAAAGGGGAAATTTCGCGTGAAATGACTAAGCTTCACCGCAAAAGCGTATACCTTCGCCAATTCCAGCATTAATTTTTTTAGTATCCGCCAATCTAACTTGGAGCCTCGGATGGATGCGAGAGGTCGACGGGAATCCCAAACTGGAGCAAACGCTGTCGTAAAGAATTCGCCGAAATTTTGGATGGTCATGACTATGATTTATTTCGGTGACCCATTCTTGGCGTTGCCAATTCTAAGTATCATCGATTTTGTCACCGCTAGCGCTCTTTCCAAATGCATCACAAGACTAGATAAACTTTTAATCAGACTGATAACCTTGCATTCTTTTACGTATGGCGAATCTTCGTCGAACTTCGGATGATGTTTCGTTTCATAGGACCCATCAGAAGTAGTGCAAGGGCGTTCGTTAGTTTCGCGTGTGTCATCCTGATTGCACTCCAGCTCGAGATGAGAATCACTATAAGCCAGAATCAGTCCAACTAAATCGGACTTTGCTTGGTTTCCTCCCATGTCTCATTTTTTTACCAGAAAATTAAGCAATATTCTGACCTAAATTTTCCGAGGAAACTTTAGAACAAATTCAAAGAAAGTTTCAAGGTGGTCTGTTGTTTCGTTTTCTGCTACACAAAGCGAAAAATGTGACTTTAGGAAATATCTTATTTAATTAGGCTGATTCTGATTTTTTCTCGCTTTTCATTTGAAATTGGACGTATTTATACTAAAAGGAACTATTGCACGCAACCTCGATGCACATAGTTCCTTTTAGCATAAATACGTCCCATTGGAAGACGGGCTCCAAAAAATTGCCCTAGAAAATTCCGCATTTGGACCACATTTTGCAATCAGGAACTACAATTTCTGGCTTATTTTAGAAACAACGTATGTGCCATTAGATTCCCTCTGCAGATAGGTGTTTTTATAAATGGGCCAGAAATTTTAGGTCCTAATTGCAAAATTCAGTCCATTTGATTATTCGAAATTCATATTTCAAAGCTGTCGTTCGTTTTTTCAACGGTCTCATTAGATCTGTTTGAAATGTTGTGAAGCGGGCTTCGTGAAAGGTTTGGGAATTGCAAATTCAGTCGAGATATTTTTGATAAAAATGAAAAACTCACCTCTTCAGCGGAGACTTTTCCATAAAGAATACTAGTGGCATCAGTCATAGAAGGCAACGCTGGTGAGGTATAAGCTGAAGAGAATCCGACAGCTAAAGATCCTAAAGAGACACTTAATGATGCTAAAACCTGAAACAGAAAAGAAGAGCAAATGTGAATGTTGGCATTCCTGAGATGATAATGGTTATAGCTTCAAATATTGCACCCGAGAGACCACTCTCTTTGCGAGTGGACCCTCTCGAGTTTAACGGTTATCGCATCCCAGCTAATTCCGACTGCAAGTTCTGCAACGCTCATTTGTCCTCTATCCCCAGTAAGAATTTCCATTTCCATTTCTGTGCGCTGCATGTTATTTCTATCCACGTAGTCAAGTTTTTCATTTCATCGAGTCGACCCTTTTCCGAAGAAATTGTGTAATCCGAAAGTTTTTGCATTGAATAATGTAATTGTTTTATCCCTCACAATGCAGTTAATTGTGTTTCTGCAAAAACAGAGGTTCTGCAATTGAGCCACTCTTTATAGAGACGATGTTTAACTTTTTCAGTGATTTCCATTTTATGCAATTCGGTGCGTCATTTGTAGACAACCAATTTGACAGCCTTTCGGAAATATAATCCCCAAAAACATTTCTTATTTTAACTCATTTCTTCATCAAGAAAATAATTCGCATATCGACGATGAAACCACCAAACCACGTATCTCGTTTCCGGTGTTAAAAAATCTCTGCTCACATCTTATTTTCCTGAGGGAGATCAGATCAATATTATTCCTTGACATTTTCACAAGAGTTTTCTCTGCACAAAGAGAAAAAATTACGGAAATTTTCAAGAACTGACGTAGAGTAGTTTTCCATTTAAAAAATAAAGTATGACAGGAAGTCTGCAACGTCGCAAACCGAGATACGTGGTCGGAGTTTCACCGTCGATATGTAATGTTTGGTTCACCACATATTTCGTACAAAAATTATTCGCCGTTGTTACAAAGAATGACAAAATTTAATAATTTGGTTCGAAATTTCCGAGTTTTTTTATTTTATACATATCAGAATGCCTCATAACTCTTTCACCCGTACTCCAGGCGGTGGTAGCAAGAGCTCAATTCCGAGTTTTTCGTCATGAATGTCTTTTTTGCCGTTGACGTTAGCGAATAAAGCCAGGAGTGAATGGGAGGGATGCCATAACAACTTTTTCTTCATCTTTACGTCCGAAATGGGCAATTTTATCGCTCATTTTGAAGTAAGTGGAGGAGGGAAATTTCAGTTTCATGAGGCCCTCATGACCCTAATTCACCAGCTAGAAGACCTATTTTCAGGATAATTACTCCCTTCACGTCTATTTAACCGCGGCGCTGATTCAGGAACAGCTTTCAAAGCACAAGCCGCCACCAATGAAGAAAGGCTCCGCGGAGTTGAGTCGCGGCACCAAAAGCGGCGGTGTTCTTGAGATGGTGCCGCATGCAAATGAGTAGCACCCCCCCCCCCCCCCGCCCCCTGGGGGGGGGGATCCCTGCCGCGGCATCCCTTCCGCGTGACGTCACGTACCGGGACGACGACCCTCGACAACTCGACTTGCGGAGTTCCTCGCCCGCCCTTGGGCCCAGGGCCCGGTGCATCGAAACCCTGTGCAAGTTTAAAGCTTCGAACAGGCTCTTGGTATTCGGGCATTGTGCTGCGCCGTACAGTGGATCGAGTCAATTAGAGGGGTCGGACATAAACATTTTGACTAAAACTGCAAATTTTGATGTTTATTTTGTCGAATTTTAAATTTCAAGGGGTGGTTTTGGAATAAAATTTTACGAAAAAACCAATGGAACCTCACCACTTTTAGAACCTCAAAATGTTATAAGAACGGAGTTATAAGCTTTGAAAGTTTCTAAATTTTGTTCGACCTCTCAGCTTGACTTGACCCACTGTGCGCCGGCAGCCGAGTACGCTGACGCATCCAAACATCCGATTTCTTGTGCAATGGGCCTGTATATAAAGTATGAAGTAAAGCACAGCGCTACGTATTTTCTCCTCAAGATTCCCAAGGAATACAAATCACACAATTTTTAAACTTTCATTAAAGTTAAGTGAATACAAATTAACCAATCTACCCTTGCTTTAACTAATTTAACACATTTTTACTAGCATTGAAAATATTTAAGGCATTTTATCGCAATCAGACGTTAATCCGCAAATTGATCGATAGATTTCGCAACGATCAGCGGCGGCGTGATCCACCTGTCAACGCGTTCCCGGTTGCATTTCAATTAATCATTTCAATCATTCTGTCGGTAGCTTCCCGATCCAGGTCTGTTTTCTTAACCTCCGAACTTGGTTGCCATGCGCACAAATACCCTCCCGGTTCTGCGCACGACTTTGCATAGAATAAAATCTTCCATTTCAAAAGATCGACAACTCGGTTGCGAATATGGTCCTGAAATCCCGATTCCGTCCTGTTCCGGTATTGTTACACGTCGATTTTTGTTTATTCGCATAATGAGACGTTCGATTTCCGGCTCTGCTTTTATGTTCGCACCATCCGCCATTTCAGGGTTCGGGCGGATAGCACCCGACGTAATGAGGGCACAACTGGACTGCATTTTGCAATTTGGAAGTATAAATTCTGGCTCCTCTGGAAAAACACTTATGTGCACAGGGAAACTAATGGCACATACGTTGTTTTTAAATCGGGCTAGAATTTATTGTTCCAAAGTGCGAAATGTAGTCCAATTTGTGTTGAGCGATCGGAACTGATCCGCACTTTAAGGATAGCGGTGACTGGTTCAAAATTTTAACACTTTGCTTTACTAATAGTATCACGAAGCATTTGACTGTTCATTGCCGGAGTTGACATTGAAAAAAATTTCTATCGGAGTCTTTTCGGGCTCAATAATGAATAAGAAGTCGAAGCATGGAAAGTGTACATAAAAAGTTACAGAAGTTTTAAGTAACCGACTTTGTCGAGAAAATTATGGTTTACAAATGTAAAATGTTGAATGCCGTGGCATTCCTCGCCAGATTAAGTCAAAACAGACTTGTTTCTTTACCCTAATCTTCTCAAAATTTGATAATCTCTGGTACACTCATTCTTTACTAAAAAAGTGTTGTCTTTTTTACGAATTTTTTTCTCTCCGTTCAAATTCATTGGATTTCTTTTAGTAGCATCCAAAATATGTAAAAAATTATGAGATTTAATCATTTTTCTATAAAAAATGAGAGCACAAAATTCCATAAAATTCCGAGTAGGTCAGGTCAAAACCTTGGCTTTCTTTGGCATGGAATGGCCCGAAGCTCTCCGTAAACCTTCAGACTAACGCGTTGGAGAAATAGAAAGCTCCAGCTTTGTTTTTATTAGGGGTGCGTTCGCGGCGGGGCCATAATACTAAGAATAGCTCTCTCTGTCGGTGCGTCAATTTTTTGGATGATGGGGCTTAACTCTTAAGCACTCGGTGCCGAATGTTTTGAATCTTCGTTTTCCGAGCGTCATATTTCACTGCGCTTTTGACTCAGTTTTCACGCTCGTTCTACGTCATTTCAAAGGTTTCTCTCCGTCGTTTGCAGTGCGACTGTATGAATGTATCGACCGTGGTTGAGGGTTGACTGAACCTATTTTTGGATTTCGCTATCCTCTCTTGAGGGCTCATTTAATTCTCAAGTTTCTTTTAACAGGAATGGGTTTTTTTTTTTTAAGTCCTGCAGGATTACTGAAAATAATTACGTCAGATCCAAGTGATGTCCTGTTTTAGCGTGATAATTCAGGACTGTGCAGAAACTTTCAGTTCAACTGTCAGTATAAGTTTATCTCTTTTCTTCTAAGATGATTTTGAACATGTTTGCGTCCAAACTAGCATCTTGTCTTTTGATTTTAACAGATAAATGATTAATTTAATAAAAAATTTAAAAAATGAGCCGGAAAACCTTGAAATACTCAGAAAAAAGAGCGAACGACTTGATACTTTGGAAAAAATCACGTTTACGGAAATAGTGATTTTTTGCGTGTCGCATCGACAATATGTTTGGTACGGATCTGATAATTTTTTTTTATTTTTTCAAAAAAAATTCGGAACAATCTCATTTGACAAAAAAGTGCAGAATTGAAGCCGGATGAGAAAATTTTTAAGTATTTTTATCATGCCTATAAAAAAGCAAATTGAGAGCAAAAGCAAGGGAATTTTCTTAATAAGTTGTCAAAGGAAACCTTTGAAGAGAGCGGGAATTTCGATTTTGAATTTCTGTGACCATCATGTCAATCAAATCAACACATGAAGAAATGCATAGAGTCCTTTGACCCTTCCATGGGCAAGAGCTCGTGTTAACAACGACGTAAAAGAGGAGCAGCTGGCGCGGTCGTCCAAAGCCATAAAATAGTGGCTCGCTAATTGGGAGCTTCACTCTTTGACAGAGGTAAGCCATGAGCTCCGTGTCGATGCCATTAATATTCAATCTGCGACTCCCGACTCAGTCTCCAATCATCAGTTTCTTCGTATTGTACCACGGTTCGACCGCCTCCGTAATAACTTAGCGCGTTAACGCATGTCGCCACGTGTTCGCATCGATACCGTATCGATTTTCCGAGACGGGTGACAGATCATTAACGGTAGCGAACGATCCCTAGGAGTCCGCGGTGTCCATAAATTAAGGGTTGAAACAAAGATGCGCAGGAACTTCTGATTGGTTGATGTTCACTTCCTAGAATGCCTTTATAGGAAGAGTGTGGCCATTTGTATCTTTTTAGCACGGAAGAGCATCCTGCTCTCTGATTGGCCTACACGTTTTTGCGTTCCATGTAGCGCTTTCGGTCGGAAGTAAACAAACGTTCCCATTGGTCGACCGGCCTCATAAAATGCATGCCAATTCTCTAACGAGGAATTATTCTGGATGCGCTGATTATCAATCCTCTATTCTGCCGTGCTAAGGAAAAACGGCGGATGAACCTTCAGGCGTTGCCAAATTTCCTTTCATAAAACGCGAATTTCCTGGTAAATTTATGAACATTTTCCTCCCAGCTTTTCGGATAATTTCGTTCACAATTTTACCTGAAGATTCTGAAAATTTAAAGGCAAAATATTCATAGCTTTCCTCAAAATGAACATTTTATCGAAGGAAACTTGGCAACTCTCGAATGTTCTTACGGCGTTCTTCCTTA